AAGTTTGTGAGTATCTCTCAGTTGCTTGCAGAAGGATGATCTCAGATCCCATAAGCATCTCATTATCTGTTGAGCTGGTAGATATCCAGAAAGTTCCAGCACTTTCTTTTAAACACCACCGGGGCAAGTATTTGTGAACATAGAGGAGGCAGGCCTGTAACAAGTGGCTGTTGTAGGAGGGAGGAAAGATAATGTGTGACTTTTCTAACATGTGCATTAGAAATCTTGAGGAAATATATATTTTTACATTTTAAGTTATGATCTTAGAGAATGAGAGTTTGAGATGCTAAGCTGCCTAATAAAAAAGGATACTTTGAAATAAGTTGTATTAATATAGCTAATTTAATATTTCCAATTCTGAAAATGCTGCTGCTGTTGTAAATAAAACATAAGTTGCCATTTTTACATTTGACTAAAGTTTTTAATGACATAGTAAATATTAATTTCTGGCATTTTAGAGCATTTGATAAGTTTGGTGGCTATTTCATTGCATGTTTAATGTAATGTCAGAGACTGGTTTTGCCTTTTTAGTTGTGGCTATTACTGACGTGAACCCTGACAGAATAATATTCCATCAGTTTGGTGGCTGCTGGCGAGAAGGTGGTTGTGAATTCGGAGAGGGTAAACTCCTGCTGGTGTGGTAAGGTAGAAGGTTTGTAATTTTTCAGATGGATCTTGTCAGAGAAGTGCCAAAGGTTTGGATTATCTGACTTTTCATCAATCATCCAAAAGCTTCAAGATATATTGGGGGGGAAACTTTCTTGTTACATGGAATAACTTTCCCAGTCCTTAGTCCCCTAAAGGTAGATTTGAAACCTAAGTGTGAAGTTGTGAAAAGCCAAAAATATCGGGAAATGTTTCGCCAAAATCTGCTTATTTCCCTTGGCTCAGTAAACAACCAGGAAATTTTCTCCAGTAAAAGCTGTAGGGAGTTGCCTTTTTTTTAAGCCCCATTTCCTAAGAAAACGTGATTTATGCTTTTTCCTTGTTTTCTCTCACTCTTTCCTTACATATTCGCCAAAAGCTTTTGACGTCATTGACCAACTGCAGCCATGTTTGTAGGAGGGATAGAAATCTCCAAGACTGTAATGCTCCTACAGGTTTTGGGAAAATAGGCAAACTGGGTAGAGAGAAATGTGTCGCTACCCTCTCTTGAGAGAGAGCTAATGCAACGCGAATTTGGCATGGACCTGTTTTTTTCAGCACGTGCTGGGTCTGTGTTTGATAGGAGAACAGGAGATGGTTGTACGTACCAACGGGACTTGAGGAGACAGGCAGAACATTGGGCTGTTGTGGGAAGGGGATGGGGACTGAGAATATCATGGTTTGTCAGAGGGATGATGGGAGGGGAAGCTGGCTTCTCATGATGGGGGAGAGGAGAGTAGAGCTATCAGAACTGTGCTTTACTGCCTGCTGAAGAACTCGTTTGATGATGAGCTGGTAAAAGATATTTTGACCGTTAACCCGGGAATTATTGTCCTGATCAGAATTAGATGATACTATATTTCACTGGCTGCAGGGTTGCTTGACTCTTAGTTTCGTTTAGTATGTAAAATAAATTCTTCTGAAATTAAAAGAATAGCTTTAAACTGTGATTAAATTCATATTTTCCCATTGTTTCAGGGAAAGAAATGGTTCTGATGTATTTCTTTGAAAAAACTAGAACTTAGACTTCACTTTCAGGAGTAAAGAGGAAAAGAAAGTGTGACTTGAGCTTAAGAAACAGGACTTTTCCATTTAAAGGCCATAGCGAATAAGTGCTTTTAATAGGGGAGAGATAAAACTGAAAGGGTGCTGTCTAAATATTTCTGTTTATAGCAGTTACTGTATGAAATATGTCCATTAATAGCCAAAGAGTAAGATTTTTCTCTCAGCATAAGAACAAAAGATAGTACCTCCCAAATGGGATTTCCTGTAAGCCCATTCCTCTGTCTTGTAACACGGAGTTATTAGTAGAAAAGCAGAAGGAGCTGGACTTCTGTCTAGAACGACATTTCTCTGGTTCTTTCCTGTCTTGCCTATATTTGCATTACCTATTAATTATTATAAACAGCAGACTGAAATTTACCTCATTATGTTAAACTTGTAAGATTTTATCAAGTCTCAGTGGAGAATTGTAGTATGTCCTGCTGATAGGTTTAGAGAAACTTCTGATAGACTTAGTAATGGTGAAAGTGAAGAAAACTTTATTAGCTCGCTACTTTCGTTTCTAGAGAATTCCCTGCTCAGTAATGTCAAATATACTTTTCAAGCCTTCAGTAACCAATATAGTCTTCACAAATTTTATAGTATTCACAAATTTTAATTCATTAATTTCAAGTATTAAAATACTTTCATTTTAAAATATCATAATGGACTGCAAAATAGTTAGGTGACTTTGACTTGTGCTTATTTTAAAGTAGTTTTCATAGTAACAACAAATATTCTAAAGGAAACCGGATTTTCCTCTGACTGTGAGTAGAAAAGCAAGTAGCAGCATGAATCACAGCTTCCAAGAACTGTCAGAATAGGAATGCAGATTCTCCCCACACACACACACACGCTTTCCTCGCTGTCAGTTTTAATGTAGTAATGTGGTTTAATAAAGTTTTTCTTGCCATCCACAGCAGCAACATTCATTATATGTAATCAAGCTACTACTAGCAGTTGCATGGTTGAGGATGAAACGAGAGTTTGGAACTAGTATGGTAGTTCCAATGATAACTCTAATATCTCAGCAATTTTGCTTAAAATAACGTTTTCTGAAAATGTTTTTTTGTTGAAATACTGTACTTCGGTGTTTTTTCAAATTGTTTTTTTTTTTTTTTCTCCAGCTCAGAGGCATTAGTTAAACATTTTGTGCAGCACTAAAGCTTTGCATGATGTTTCATAGATAATAAGATACAGTTCCAGCCTTGAAGAGCTTGTGATCTGAATTTCACTGACATAGAATATGAGAATGACCTCAGAAAAGGGGACAAGGATTCAAATGAATGTGAGTCATAGTGAGTGAATTAAACAAGTTGTCGTTTCTAAGAACAGAATAAGGTAGATCAGCAAGGAGGAAGATGAGAATATAGAAGCAAAAGACAGCATAAAGCAAGTCCAAATAGTACAGGGATTTGAAGGAAGAGAGGGAAACTGTTATTTTGCAGGATCTAGAAAGCATAATAAAATCAGAAGAGTCGTCTGAATCAAGATGAAGAGTAACTAGAAGGTGTTAGGAAATGGGGCAGGAAAAAGATATGTAGAAACTTATAAATTATGTTGATAGGTTTGGCTTTTATGAAGGAAAAAAAAGATGAGACAGGAAAAGGATTTGAGAATATGCTGGTTTGATCGGTTTGGCAGGAAAGTCAGGACACAAATTCTAGTACTAAGAATTTTTTTTAACCCCTGAAGAAATTTAGCTCTCAATTTAACTTCCTTTTAAAGTGAGTGGCAAAACAACAGGCAACTGTGCCTGAAAATTAAATCTCCAGCATTCATGTTGCTCTGACTACCTCCTATTACACCCAGTTTTTGTATAAGCTGGAGGACTTTTTATGAGTTTCAGTGCAGTTGAGGTGGGACTATAGAAGCTTCTAACACCAAAGGTAATTGAGGCACTACCACTTTATCTAAGTCAAAAGGATCACAAACTTTTTTTCATTAAAGTAACTGAAATTGCTTTTCAAAATTATTTTAGTTAAACTGGTACTACCTTTATATGGACAATTAAATTTATGGTTGATTTATATTGAGTTATGTTAATCTTTGTGTTACTGGCCTAAGAAATGAAAAATAATCTCTCATAAACTTGTATAGATTGTTTTTTAAATTGGCATCTAGACACTTTTCCTGCCCCACAGAGTATAGTTTGCCATTTCTTATCTATATACTGGTATTTGATTCAAAACATTGATTTCTAACATTAGAATATTTCATTTTACTGTATAAGTAAGTAGATGATAAAGGCTACCTTTCTTATCCCATTAGGCTTGTCTAGTAGACCTTCTTCAAACATTGGCATTCTTCTTCCCCAGCTTGACAGCTGCTTCTTTCTACGTTGTATGTACTGGGGGACAAAGTGGTAAAGAACAGGGGTTTTGAAGTTTCCTTTTCTTTGTTATCTTATGTCAAAGGAAATCTGCCTATCCTTGCATATGGTGGAAGAAGGAAATAGATTTATGTATACCTTAAAGGAGATACGTTGTCACATGGGAATGCTGAATAGAAAGTGTCAATAGTGATAACTAGCAGTAGTTTTCCCAGCAGGATTGTCAGCAGTAAGATTATATTACCAAATTGGTGCATGCGTGTTTAAAACACAGCACTGTATGTAGTAATACAGAATTTGTGATCTGTAGTAGATGGGGAGCTGTTTCTTTGTGGAATAAGTAGAGTGTTTGTGTATAGAAATATCTATTGTATAGTTTGCTTCTGCTCAGTACAGCTTACTGAAATTAGTTTTTCATTAGTGAGGGGAAGATATTTGAGACTTTCTTATGCTGTTGTGTGCAATGTTCTCTGAGAGTTTTAAACTGTGTTCTGAGGTAGATCGCATGTCCTGTTTGAACCATAATACACACACATAGTTAAGATTGTATTGATGTATTTTCTTTCCAGAAATTTGCCTGGTGTATTACTGATGTTCTGCGAGGTCATAATATACCCCAAAGCAGTTGTAATATAATAATTGTAATATTAATGTTTTGTAGGCAGTGTTAGAACTGTAACTTTAATGTTACCATTAGGCTGTTGCATTTGTCTTGCAGATTTGGATTTCAGGCAGTGCCAGAGCTATGTAAAAGGTGGTATGCAATTTTGAAGTTCTCCTTCATGTGTATTTACTTCTTTATGTTGAATAGAGGAATTGGAAAGTGAAATTGTGGACAGTTTAGGGATGGAAATAAAGTGACTGAAATGGCAGGAGAGAAAACGGAGAACAGCAATCAAGGGCTTACCTCTAAAAGTTGTTTTGAATGGATTCATCTTTATAGAACTGTAGGTTTTTTTGTTGTTGTTGTTTTTCAGAAGACTGTGCCAAAGAAGACTTTTGCTCAGATGACATCACATTTGGACTACTAATGCTATCCGCCCACTCTACAAGGCACAATGCATTTCTAGGTAATTTAAGTAAGTATGTAGATTTTATTGCTACTAGAACAGTAACGCTTTAAACAGAAGCATCTCTCTTTCAACCTCAGGCAAGGTAGACATTCCACTTCAATTTGAGATTGAAATTAATGTTGTGTAGGGGCAAGAATAAACTTCAAATAAGCTTTTAATAAGCTTTCATCCTGTACACTGGAGCATGGAATGAAACAATTGAACTAACTGTACCTGAGCTGCCTTGGAAACTAGAAGGAAAAAAAAAACCCACCAAACTTCATGATGGTAGTGTCCCCAGCAATGAAGTGTGCTAATGTGGCCCTGTGGTTTCTGGAGACTGAATTAATATCTCTCCTGGGGATGTGTTGCAGTGAATGAGCATATGTATTGCTGTGCTTACAGCTTTTTTGGGTGGCTTTTTTTCTTGCAGATGCTCTTTTTAAAGTGGCGATGGGCTTAATACCCCAGTAATGTAAGAATATATAGAAAGCAAAAGAATGCATCTTAATAGGTTCAAGTAGCAATATCTCTGATCATGCCATCTTACTTGTGAAAGGGTTGCATTTCCCCACCTCCTTGATTGGACACTGTGTACCATCCAGCTGAAAATGGGCCAGGAGGTGCAGATTTTCATCTTTGCAAGATTTGTCTTATCTTGCAATAAGGTTACTGATTGCTTTGTACATCCATAGTCATGCAAAGAGAAACATACGACAGACAGGGTCGTTTGTTTAAGGTTCATCTTATGAGTGACAGAGGGGTTTTGATTTGATGTATCATAAGGATCATGGCCATGGCCCCCTGTAGCCTTCATGTATGTGTTTATATGCTTTTTCTTTCTAAGTAGATACTATTGTTAAACTTTTACAGATGTTCCGTTGTTTTTTTGACTGGGTCAAAAAAACCCCAAGAAACTGATCTATTTAGGTAGATCAGACATTGTACCGATCTTGCTGAAACTGGATTATTTTGTCTTGCTGACAGAAAGCCTTCCTATATTCCTAATGGCTTATGCATTGGAGGTGTTTGGTCATGCATGAAGTTTGGTCATGAATGGAGTTACAGGTAGCAGTGCTTGTAGTTAATGATGCTTGACACTTTCTATTCTAAGACCCTGGTTTTAGTTGCTTATAATTTAGCAAGACTTAAATCATTGAGCAGTAATTCTTTGCGTTGTATATCTGCTTCAGCTAAAACTTTACCAAAAGTCAGCTTGTGTCTGAGAATGAGATGAGGGGGAGGAACGTACTGTTTTCTTGATTCAAAATGCGATGAAAATCTTACCACTGGGACGACAAAGCACCTGCATATGTTAGAGCAAGCACTCAAGGTTTTAGTAAAAAACTTAAACTGTTATGCTGCAGTATCAGGCTTTTTTTTTTTTTTTGTGCCATCCCAAACTCTTACATTAGGCGGCACGATAGATTTCTGAAAATACGGTTTGTACCAGTTCAATGATTTGCCTAAATCCTTTTCATCTGTCCAGATCAGATGAGGTAGATATATTCCAAATCCTTTTAGTCATAACCAGACAGAGCTACTGAGCATGTTCTAGCTGGACTGTGAGAAGTAAACAGGCCTAATCTCCTCCACTCCATTGTAATGTCAGGTACAAACACTGAGTAAGGAGACTTTCTTCTGCACTCCTTGTGCTTTTCCTTAAAGCCGTCCCTCATCTACTGTTGATTCTGTCCTTCAAATGCTGCTTCAGTAGTATATAACTTTTGTGCATTTTTCATTCAACTTTTCTATATACTTTTTTTTTTTCTTCTTTATTGCTGCTCTTGTGTTCAGAACAGATCATAATAAAATAGTTTTGAACAATGCATACTGTGTGTGGTTAAAAGTTAGGAAAGACTTCTTTTTGAGCATCCTGAAAACTTATGTGTGCTGTGCATCTTTGGTGTTGCTTTTCAGGTAACCTTTTTAGACATGAGGACCTGCTTTGTTTTATTAAGAATTTGTGTTTTCCAGGGTGTACTTCAGCTTTATTTACTGCTTGTCTCTCCATGGGCTGTTTTCTTTCACCTTTACATTTTCATTAGTCCATTTACTTGTGTTTCTTCCTGAGAGCTTTTTTTTTAACTTGTGCTGAAAATCCTCAGCTTAAAACTGTTCTTAAGTTAACAGAACTTTTGTGTTTACTTATATAAAAACATCTTTTTATACATTTTTTTCTAAATGTTTTTCATAGAAGTGTGAAAAGCAAATAACTAAATAGAGAGAAAAGACTTTTGACACTGATTTGTAGAAATAGAAGAGAGATTTGAAAGTTGTTGTGCTCTTTCCCACTGACTTGTGTGCATGTGTGAGTGCTTGCAGTAGTGCCTCTGTGCTTCTCTGGAAACATGCCCATGTCACTACTTGGGCAAAACACATTTACTCAGGAGAATAGTGAAGTCAAACCACTCTTATTCAGATTTGTTCTTACACACCTGCTGTAGAAGTGCAATGAATAAGGAGTAGCATCCCCACAATCAGAGCCCATCCACAAAGAATGGGAGATGTAGTATTGTAGGGCAGTTAGTTATCTTGGCTGTAATTATTGGGGCTGCTCTGCCTATCACAGTGAAGAAAAACTTCAACTCATTAAATCAAAATTTGTTTAATAGGATATAGAGAGCTAATGATCTGAAAATGGTCTCTTGGTTCCTAACTGAGATTTAAGGGAAATTAGAGATTGTTTCTGAGGAAGTGAAGAGATTATCCTGGGTTTTACATTTGGATCAGAGGAGTTGACTTAAATTAATGAAATAAAGTAGTGGAGTTGCTGACCAAAGCAAAGGTATGCTCTAGGCCAGGCAGAGAGGAGGGAGAGGTGCTATGTGGGAGAAATCACCGCCTTGTTTGTCTAAAGATTGAAATTATGAAACAAATGAAGGCAGACTTACAAGACAGGCTGGAGACTCATAGTTCCACTTTCTTTTGCTGAAACTAGAATGTATAGTGTGGAGGATATCTTAACATTTCTGCCCCTCCTTTTTGCTTATTATAGGACTGCACTGAACTTTCTTTTCAAATACTTTGTGATTTTTGTGTTGAAGTGACCTAAGAGGGTCTGGTGTTCATGAGTTACAGGAAGACGGAATTTGTGTTCAGTGTAGGAGTAAATGGAATGATTTATTGCTTCTTAGATTTTTATGGATTAAAAATGCAGTATTGAATTCATAATTGAATTACAGTTGAATTCATAATTCAATTACAGTTGAATTCTGTAATTGTTTAACAGGGTTTAAAAAAAATCAGTGGAATAAGTTGTATTTAATGTTGATGAAAATTGCTGCTAACTGGTTTTTTTGTTATTAAAACCAGAATTACTTACAAACTCTGGGTTTTGCTTTGAAGCCCAGGTCCACACAGAAGGAAGCTTCTGAAATGAAAAGGATTGTGGTTATACTTAAAATTTTCAATTTATGTTCATGTGAAGGTTTGTATAGTGTTGTTTTGTGGTTTGTTTTTTGTTTTTCTTAAAAGACAATTTTTCTTTAGGAATTGCTTTAGAGAGCTCTGATTTTCTTTTCATCTAAATTTTAGCAAATGCGGAGTGAAACCCATTCTTTCATTTGCAAAACTCTTCTGGAAAATTACTTGGGTGCTGTATATTGAATGTCAGTGAAACTAGGTGAGTCTGAATATTTTGATTATTCTAAGCAACTAATGAGTTAATTGTGTGTGGCAAAATCCTGTTTATAACTTACAACGCTAAGGGAAACTCTGGCATTTAACCTCAAATCTAGAAGATTAAATTATTACATAAACAAATGACATAGCTCAGAAAGGGGAAAAAAAAAAAAAGGGAAAGATTAAGCAATATATTCCTGGCTTTACTCCTAAGGTAAAAAGCTGTGTATACACCAAATATATTTTTATCTAGTGTTTCTGTAACGAAGTTCTTCCATAACATAAGTTGCTTGATTAGTTTCCCTTAGCATTTCTGTCATGGTGTTCCTGTGGCTGTTCTCTGAGATGATGTTTAGAACCAGGCTAATATCAGTCTTATAGTAGACTAATATTTCTGTGTCATTAATCTGCTTTTTCTCAATTCACATGGTTGCTTAGCACTGGATTTAGAGATCAATTTGAATGATTGAAGCAAACACATGTTCATCTTTAGCCCTTTTAAATTTCATTTGAGTTAGGGCAAGTGAAATCACAGTAGTAGTGCTTACATGCCTGTCTCGGTCTACACCATCTGAATTTCCAAATATAAAAACAACACTGACAGCTCTGTCTGAAAGGTCAGAGATGCCAGAATCTTCAGTTTTCTCTTGCTGTATTTAATAGCACAGGTAATAGGAGGAAATAAATAAATAAATGGGAGAAAAATCTGAAAGAAATAAGGGGGGAAACAAGAAAAGAAGTAAAATATTTAAAAGAAAAAAAAAGACATAAAAGATGGAGTGAAGAAATGAAGCAAAGAGAAATGAAGCCGAAGTGGTAGGGCTATCCAGTTTTATGTTGTCTTCTGAATTCTGGAATAGGGGAAATAAATTCTTTTTGTGATAGCCAGTAGATTGCCATGTGAGGAGTTAAGAATAAAAACTTACAGAATTTTTCTAGAGTCTTTCAGTGCCCTCAAGTATTCTGTTTTGTGAGATGATACCTGCTTTGGTTAATCTGGTTTGGAAAGGTAGGATACAATTCCAGTGCATGCATTACCATTTTGATTTGGATCATTAATACTGTTTTGGAGAAAATCTCTCAATTATTTCCCCTTACCACATACTTGCTCAGGGTGTTTGAACTACATTCCTTTCTCAGAAAACTAGTTTTTAAGTTCTGCTGCAGGTGCAAAGAGCTCTTCTGCTCTACTGGGGACATACAGGTCTGAATCAATTATTTAATCGCTGGAAAACTTTGAATGGCCTGTGTGATGGTGATGTTTGCTTCTGAAGACCAGGTGAAATCTAATCCAAAATAAACCTTCTTGAACAGCTAGCATATGAGTGTCAGCACCAGCTGCTTTGATCTACTGATCCATTTCTACTGCTCCAGATTACTTGCTAATGGAGACATAGCCAAAATTGTTCACTTTGGTTATAGGTCAGTAGATGAGGGCAATGAACATCTGTGATATAGGTGGATTTGTAGAATAGATACGTAAGTTTCGGTGCTAATATTTACAACTTTCAAAGTGCCACAGATGTTTTTTGCAACTTTTGTTAATACAAACTGTCAAGGAAACAGATAAATACTACAAGTTGCAGTAAATCAAATGGCGAAATCATAACTGCCTTCTGAAATTTTGATTGTTTAGTCTATTTTTATTCCCTGCTTATATTCTTAAATTGTTAAATATAGGAATATTCTGATTTCTTTCATTTAATAATTTTTATATAGAATTCTAAAGTTTGTATACTTCCTACCCCACGTGGTTTGCTTGAGCTGCTCATCTGCATTGAAAAAAAAACAGCTCCAGTGTTTTATTGTAGTCATTAAGTGAGAACAAGACAAAAAATGAAAGAAATGGTCTTCACAGGTGTTTGCAGTTCTTACAATCTTTCTGTGCATTGAGCTGTCATGAATCAAGACAGTTTTGTTTTGTTTTTTTCCCCTGGACTGAATTCCTCAGTTTGAGGTTGTAGATGGCAGTTGTTAAGGTTTTGGAAATTTAAGTAATATTTAGTTGCCAATGTTAACTCATGTTATCTTGGAGTAACAGTTGTTAAGTGTTCTCCCCATCTGCCCCATGTAATTTTAAGTTCAGAGGTTCCTGAGAATTTTGTATACTTACTGCTAGTGTAATATCCCGCATGTCTAAGCCAATGATTAGGACTAAACTCAGTTGTATTTCATGTTTATTAGATCTTTGCAGAATCTAGGCCTTAGCTTTCAGCATTTTTTCCAGAAAATTTCCAAGATTCAAGTAAGATTTCTATCAATAGGGACATTTAAAACAACAGCCCTTTAATATAATCATTAAAAGAAAATATCTAAGGTTGTAGCAGCACAAGTATCAGCAGCATTTTGGAGAACTTTTTTTTTATTAAAGCCAGTGATTTTTTTCAAACGAAGTTATTTGCAGTGTTATTTAAATTGTTTTTATTCAGTCTATTCCCTCATGTTGTAACTGGCATAAACATATTATAAAAGTTAGCATATTTTATTTTCCTAGGCTTAAGCATCTCTCCCTTCAATTTGTATAATCCTTTCTAAAAGAGGCATTATTACTGCCACGTGTGTATGTAGCACTTCAGCTAGCAAAAAACCAATGCATTATGTAAAAATGAAAATTTAGTACTTAGCTGCTTCATGTAGCAGCTTTGGGAGGAGGCCTCACTGAGGCAGGTACAAGCCTCAGTTTAAAATGAAGAAAAATGTTGAGAGTCAAAATGTGAGAATTGTAAGCCAGCAAGTTATAAAGAGTCCTCATTATTTTAAGTAATCTTGTCTTATAAATATTGCATGGTTATGCTGAAGCGTATAGTTCATTCTCACTCTATTGGCATATTTGTTAATGTGTTAGGCATAACTGAACTGTTTCAAGCCTTAATGTATGCTTAAATACATACAGCTGTTTTACCCTGTTAGCATGTGGCCTCAACATATAATTTATATTAGCTTCAGGATTTCCTGTGACTATTGATAGCTTTTGGAATCCCCTTCCTCAATACCAGTGTTAAATAGGCTACTAGCAAGATCCTAGGTCATTGAAACCATATTCACAATGTTCTGAGCAGAAGAGAATTGCCATTGAAAATAAAACCTGATTATAGTTTTACTTTTTGATAACTGATAGATTAACTGAAAATTGGAATAGCTATAATGCCTTTATAAATACTTTCTTAATGTTACTTTTCAGGACTTAAGTGCTGGACGATCTAAGTCAGGTTCTGTTAATAAAGTGGGAAAAGAGCCTGTAAGAGGTGGATTATCACATTTGCTTTGATTTAAAATATTAATTGTAAAATACGTCTAGTGCAACTTGATTTTTAACTAGGTCCTACTTGCTAGTTGAGATGGCAGTCTTTTAAGCAGTGCTAATTTTAGCATCTTCAGTAATGACCTGGAAGGGAAGGTTCCAAATGTTTGCAAATAAAACATGGTGGTACTAATTTGGGAGGTGTTGAGAACTTGAGAGTGCAGAGGAGGCTTTGAGGGGCAAGAAGTAAGCATACCGAGATGTGTTTTGGTAAGTAGAAATAGTGTGGTCTGATCATTCTGTGAAAGAAAAGCTTGAGAAGTGGTAAAAGAGAAAAAGAAAAAAGCTGAGGAAAAGAGTTTACAGTCACGTAAATGTAGTGAGTATGGTCCCAAGTAGTTGATATAATTTTGTGCTGAGTATTGTAGATGGTAAAAGGGACTAATAGTTCTCACATAAATAACTTTGAGGACTCCTCTGAAACTTTTTAAAGTTTATATGGAAGTATCAGGACAGAATCTGAATTTCCAAAAATACAAAAAGGAGCTGCACCTTTTTTCCCCCCCCCCATGACCTAATCCTGAAATTTCTTATCTCGAATATGGTAGCAGCAAAGCTTAAAAAAGCTTGGCTTAGAAATTCCTCAGTTATAGTATGTTTTATGCCTTTCAGTCAATATTGTGATCTTAAAATATTTTTGAAAGAGCTGGGGGAATGGGAAATAACTGACAGATTTGTTGGGTGTTGAATTAGTCTGCAAGGTCCAGAAAGCCTGCATTTAAAAAATTCCTAATGCTTGAAGAGTAATACTGTCATCGTAACTAATCAACTTAATTTACAATTAAATTGACTGGGCTCAACATCTTGAAGAGCATACTGATCTATGGGAACAAGGAATTTGTTTGGTCTGCTTTCGCTGCCTCTCTGGTGACCCTCAGAAGGTGAATTCAGTAGGTTTCCTGGACTCGCTTAGTCAGCACGAGCTCTGAAAGTTTCTGCTCATGTCAGTAGCAAGCCACAGAGGAGGAGTGCATGCTGCTGCTGCTCAGGAGAATGAAGAAAGAACTTGGGCAAATTTGATATCTACATAAATTGATAATGTTTTAGAAACACAGAGTGCTAAAGAACAGTTGGTTAAATGTTACAGTGCTACTTCAAACTATAATTTTCCTTTGAACAGTGTTTACTGAACATTCAGAAATTCAGTTGTGTTCAGTGCTCTAAGATTTGAATACTTAAGTAAAGATGTTCTTCCTTTTTATTTCCGTATATATGCAGAATGATTGCAGTAAAATTACGTTAAATTTAGAGTTGACTTTATATGCTATTTTCTATTGCTGCATTGCTGTTTCTGCTTAGTGCAGGCAGTACTATCCCTTTTGTTAAAATAATGCACCATCTTTCCTGCCTGAGCAAGTCTAATTATTGACTAAATATTGACTAAATAATAGTCTCAATTATTGACTAAATGTTGGCTGATGTTCCATTTCCTTCTGATTCTTGCTTATACCAGGGTGGCAAAAGCATACCTAACATCTATCCCCAAAGTGGTTGCAAAGTGTGTTGCAAATAGTTTCCAGGGACAAGAAAAGTGAAGGCTTTCTGCCTTGGTTTTGTCCATTTTTTAGCCAAGACAACAGTTAAGACATTTCCTCTCTGCACCAATTGCAAAACTTTTTTATTTTGTTTTTTCCCTTTTCTATTAAGGCATTTGTTGCCTGTGTAATATGAAGGACTTGTCCTGTATCTCAGGTTTTGCAATCGCTGTAATTCCAGTTGAGCCTGGATTGTTATATCGAAAGTTCTGACAAAAGAGTAACTCTAGTGTTTTGTTTAATGAAATTAAGGAGTAGTGCAATGCAGGGGTTTGGAATTCTGTAACTATAGTATTGAGTTTTTATTTAATGTACAAACTTGCTTTTTCTATAACAGGTAGTTTGTATTGGGGGAAAAACTGAAGGATCCACTGGCAAACACCAGAATTTTAGAAAAGTAAGTCTTTACTTTTGTTACATCTTGTTAATCTTATGAACATAACAGTAAGCATGCTAAAACAGAAGCGTATTTTGCCACATCTTTTTTTGAATACACCGAAGTTAGCATCCCCTAGCGTTTCCCATATTTTGTTTTGTTCTGTTTTTCTACTACCTCATTCTTTTTTCTTTTGTTATTGCTTTCTGGTGTCCAGGATGAAGTGCAGGACTTCTAGGGGAAAGGGGTGGGGGGAGACAGGGAGGAGGAGCTGCTTGTTTGGTAATTTTTTGACTTGGACTGTGCTTCAGTGTTGGAGCTTAAAATGGTCCTACTCTCTCATTTTATGGAAATGTGAATGTGAAGCCTCACTTCTTTCTTTTTGAAGACTCTTTCCAGTGAAGTGCACTGCCTACTCCATTCTTCAGGCAGTCAAACAGTCCACTCTTCACAGAAGCTTTACAGAATAATTTAGCTGTGCATGAGTCACCCATGCTGGGAAATCTAAGCATCAGAAGCACTTCCACAGCTGCACAAATCAAGGATTGTGCAATGAACTTGGAAAAAATTATGCCCATCACTAAATATTTTTAAAGTATTTTATTTACATGTCTGCATTTCTGCATGAGATGGATAATTAAGTTTCAGATTAAATACTAGCTTTCTGAAACACCTGTCACTTGTTCTTGTGTGTTGCTGTTAGCAACTGTCCTTTTTTTATATATGTCCATTTGGTACACTTGTACAATTCTAAGACCTACAGACAGCTGCTGTTGGTATAAATCATTCTTTCATTAAATTTTCTTAGTTTCATATTACTCGTTTAGGTGAATACCCTTGTATAAGTATCTGTACTGAGGATCATCTTAAAACAGTCACAGTTCATGCTAATTAACATGTTACTTGATAGATAGGTTGATAACTACTTAGCAACACGTCAGGTATGTATACTCCTGTGCTTTACATTTTGCCTGAGTTTCCCATTGACTCTAAGGCTGAGTTCTGCATTCAGAAGCTGATCCATGAGTCTGGATCAGTGTATATAAACAAACCTCATTCTGTCCAAAAATTTCATTTGTCATGGGTTGCCACATGAGATACAGCAATACATGGGAGAGTACAGATGTTTCATTTAAATATGAAGCAGACTTCTCAAGTAGTAGCTACAACGCTTGTTTCTTTGAGCACAAATTTAAATCTCATTTTTTCCTAATTTTGTTCTCTGGTTGTAATTTAACACATGGTGTAGGTCAGCATGAAATGGCATTATTGCCAAAAAATGTCTAACCTGGTGATTCACTGCTTCCCCTTCCCCTGTGCCAACACAGCTTTTGAGCCGCCATATGGTGAAACGAATTTAGCTGATTTAGATGAATGAAACAGTGTTTGGGTTAGTTTTAGTTTGGACCAGTTTTAGGCTGTGTTGACTGTGTGATCACAGATACTAATGCTAGCAGAAGAGAGGGAATTTAATATGGGTGTGGAAATGAGTGGTCAAAATAATGATCAAAGGCTAACATTATGAAAAGTTGCAGCTTGACCAAGGAGTTTGGTAAAAGTGCTTACAAATATAAATAACTGTTAGGGTGTGAAGTGCCTAGTATCTGTAGCCATGTAGTTACCTGCATGGTCTATGTATGTATTGGTCTTGCTATCTTATGTGTGGTAATTCTTCACCTGCGGACTGATTCAGAGGAAGTAGTCTGTTTCTCCCACATCCTAGGTGAGTACCCTGTCCATGAGTTAGGAATAAGTCTGTCACCTGTTTAAAAAAACAAACAAAAAACCAAATCAACAACCCAACTTGAGATCATTTTATTGAGTTGTCTGGCATGGCATGCCGCTTTCCCTCTGCCCCTTCCACCCCTTTTTAATGTGTCCATGACTGAGAAGTGGTAAGGTGTTTCTTGATGTCTGGATGTTCTAGATAATGATATCTTAAAGGAATAAGTTGTTGATATGAAAGAGTTGGTTGCCCCTTAAAAGGTAAGGTGGATTATAAATCAAGCAAAACTGATTTAAGACTCATAGCTATATCCTTAAAATTTCTCCTAAATAGACTGTAAAGGCATGGGATGCAGAAATCACTTAACTTCTTACAAGACCCTCTTGGCCATCTGTTGATTTCTTGGTTTTCTGAAGATATTACAATGCAATAGTGAGATATGCAAAAAGTATAAGTGTTCATTTGGATATAAAAGCTAATAAATCTTCATTGGGTAGATTTTTCTGGTCTAGGATAGAATTTTAGAAAGATTCATTTGTGTGAATTTCAAAAACTGCTTTTTAGCTACCTTTCCACCTCGCAACACACACATGCATACTTAAAGTCTGGCAGTTAAGGTGCTTGCCTAACATGTAGGTTCATGTTTTTCTGCAAGATTAATTGTAGTGGATGGCTGAGTGTTTGTTTTTGTTGCAGTAATAATAATTGTAAAGTCTCATTTCCTAAATTTAAACATGAGTTTATATCAACACCGAGCAGCAATTTTGTATGGAATGGAAGAAGAATTTACTTGGCGTTATCTTGCTTTGAATGTGTAATAATTATGTCTGTTGAATTTGGTAATGAATTTTCTCCAGGACAGTTTTCAAAAATTAGTTTACTTTCTATATCTAGACATTGTTCTCTCTTGTTGTTGGGGTAGAGGAAAAACAGTGTTCAACTCTTTGATCTGTCTCATTTCTCGGTGAATTTTCGTGTCTATTTTTCAGTGTAGGAATAAAGTGTTTAATTTTTCCTCTTTGGTTAGATTTATTAGTATTCTTGGTATTATTTATGCTCTGAGGAAAAAATGACAAATCATTTTAGACAAATTGTTGTTTAAACTAACATCTGTATCTGATACAAAACATATAAAATTGCTAACACTGTTTCATAAATATGCACATTTGTAATTGGATGAATCATTTCAAAGTGTTGTTAACTCCAGGATACATATCTTGGTACCATATTTTAAAGGTTTCTTCCTTAAATTTCTGTTAATATTGATAAATTGTCAAGTGAAGAACTTTTTTTTTTTTTTTTTTTTTTTTTTTTTTTTTTTTTTTTTTTTTTTTTTTTTTTTTTTTTTTTTTTTTTTTTTTTTTTTTTTTGTCTGGTAACTTTATTCTGTCGGTAACTTTATTCTGTCGAAAATCATTGTTTTGTATGTAGCAGACAATTTTCTGGGATAATTAGTAATATTCAGTGGGAATTTAAACTTTTGAGCATGTGTATATGGTATTTTTTCCCCTTTTGAACTTCTGAAAAAAACCTGTCAATTGCTTACCTTCTCAGTTCTATTTAAGGAGCTGGAAGAAGGAAGCTGGGATTTTATTTGTTCATTGTAAAATATACCAAGTTTAGATGCCTCCTGTGAGAGAGAATAGCAGAATCTCCAGATTTTACACCATCTACAGCACTTTTTCCACAGCGCAGTGTTTATTTACTATCTGTTCTTGAGCTGACTGGCTGCAGGATGTTTCTGCCCAGAATCCCATTAAAGGAAATGGAGATTTACAGATGTGCAAACACAATGCATACACTTAAGTCTAACCCATGGTTCCCTGTTACAGATCCAGCAGTGGCAGATGTAGTTAAGAGGTTCCTGCTCCTCTTTGTAGAGGGGTACTGTTCCTCAGCTGTGCCAATTTTCAAAGGTACATGAAGCCACACTCTTTAATAAGAACAAGACAATAAAGATCGTATTTAAAACTGTGTGATATGTGGGTTGTTTTAGACACATCATTTCACAAATCTACTTCAGTGTGTGGCCAGAGCTGAAGGGGTGTGCCCCTCCAGTAAAAGCCACAGAAGGGTGGCAAGAAGCAGTGTGGAGCTTTATAAATAAAAGCAGGTGCAAGTGGAATCGTAACATGTAGCCACAGTCTTTCTCTTGTACAGACTAGTGGCACAGGATTTACAAGCATTATTTCTGCCACACTTACGGCTTTGTTATTGAAGGAAGGGGATCTCCAGTAAGGAACTGTGACTACAAAGGACTGAGAAAGTATTTTAAATGAGAATATGGAAGAATAGCAATTGTTTCTGATGACTGGATCATTAAACACTACCTTTCGAATTTTCTTTATAGACTTAGTTAGGTTTGTACTCTTTCTTGATTATCCTTTACCGTTTTCTGAAACATGGAGAGTGTTTACTGACAAACTCTGAAAATCAGTATTATAATTACTTTCTTTTAATAATCTTTGTTAATAGTTTGAAGGGAGTGCATAAACAACACCTCAGGTATCTCCAAATGTAGTTAATTTGAATCCTAGAAGGCAAAGATAATACAAGCAGCCTGGAAGGGGATGGAGGGGCAAAAAAGCCTGGTAAGTGCTTCAGCACCCTACTGTCAAGGACCAGTTTTGTTAGAAGCCTGGCAACCTGCTGAGTGCTTTCCTGGTCACTCCCAGGGAGTTGGAGGGGCAGGCTGCTCCTAGGGGAAGGCAGCCAGGCTCCGTCAAGTGCCCAGATTGCCAGCGAGTTCTTGGAGAGGAGGCAGATCTGAGGACGAGACGAGAAGTCAAATCAGCGAGTCAGGCCAGAGCAGTGGTGTACGTGACCAGGCATGGGCCAGGCTCCAACGTAGCCCAGGCGAAGAGTCAGAGGCTTCTTACAGCTTTCTTGCACATATCTTCACTGCAGTCTGAACTAAGATTAGAGCTGCACCCTATCAGGGAGGGAGCTGTGGGCCCATCTCTGTGGTGAGGAAGGGGAAGGAGATGCAGACTCCAGAGAAGAGTGGAATGGTGGTAGCAGAACAGCTGATCAAGCAGAGATCAACTCAAATGATCTGGAACAGAGGAGTGGTGGGCAGGGGTGTTTCCTCTAACCGTGAGCTAGAGAGGTGGAAATTGCAAACTGCATTCAGTCCCAAGTTACAGAGCAAACTTCTCTCCTGATGGCAGGACAGTCTAATACATGAAGAATGCGGGAGAGAATTGCTTTTTCCTCTAATCCTCATCATCTATGTTTCTAGGAGGATATTATTTACAGTGAGTTTTACCAAACTTGTAAGAGCAGCTTGCTTAGGTCTATTACCTTTGCAGGGAGTAGACAAGGACACATCTGTATGACAAACCATTTCTAAGAACGTAACCTCTTTTCACCTCTGTGGTTGCTATGTTGCCTCCTACTCATGGTGATCTGTAGGGTCGTCTAACTGCTGCTGTTTATTTGGACTATCTACAAATAGGTCTGTGGGCAAATAGTATGCACTCTTTCAAGTGCCATTGTAACTCGACTAAATCTGTGATATCGCTGACCATTACCACAACAGGCCTCCTACCAGGCAGTTCATCTCTCCTATAGACTGCTTGGCCTTGCCCTCTTTCCCAAAAGTCCCTCAGGAACAGACTTGAGACTGGATGAGTTATTCTGATAATGGCAACCCACACCGCCTGTCATCTGTCCTACTGCCCTTTCTTCATTATATTGTACACAGATGCGTCGTTGTCTACTCCCTGCAAAAGTAGTGGCCCTAAGCAAGTTGCTCTGCCAGAGCAGGCTGCTCGTGTCCACTCACAAATTTTGCTATTAAAAGCCCATCTGGGATCAAGTTGTGTGGATGTCTGCACTAGAAGCAGCTCTCTCCTACTCTGTTTTCATGTGAAGCAGGTGAAGACGTACACCTGGTGTTACAGTGCATTTATCTACAGAAAATGACATTTCTGGAATGTGTCAGCTCTTCTGCACAAGTACAGACCAAGATTACAGTTGGTTTGTTGGCATGATAGAGAAAAGGTTGCAATATATGACTATTCCCAGCTGCTAGAATAACCTTTTCAGCTGCAAAGTTTGGACAGCATTTCTTGAAATTCCTTTCAGCCCTATCTTCTGATATTTTTGTTTGGTTTGCCTTTTTTTTATTTTGAGGTAGAAAATGAGAGACATATGTCCATTTTAAAAACATAGTATTTTAACAGATAGCCTTTGATTAGTGAGAAGGGATCAATCAGTCATTACCCTAATTTGCTTTCTGTTGGTGTGTATACCATTGCAAGCAAAGGAGCAAGTATCTCGAAACCTGTTAGCTTGTTCTATTAGGCCAAACTGTATCTGATTCGAGAGCAGGTCATGGTTTACCTGTCTAAACATCTCTTGCTCTCTACAAAAGTCTATGGTTACTAGAGAGGAACTAAACCAAAATAAGTTCTTCCCCTTCTCCGCCCCTCTACCCCACCTCCAAAAAAGAAAAAGCTAAAGAGAAAAATGGTTGGGCTGGGGGTAAATCTATGAAGCAAAGAGCAAAATGGAAAACATGAGTGATAGTGATGCGCTATTCTGGGGACAAGATAATGGATGGATCTCTGCTTGCCCATTATGGTGGGATGTCCCAGTAGAGTAAAACCCCAGAAGTTCATAATCCGAGTTATCAGAAGCAAATGTTTCTTTGCTCCTGGAAAGGAGTGCGAGTTATCAGAATCAAATGTTTCTTTGCTCCTGGAAAGGAGTGTCGAGAAGGTTTATAATTATCCTCAGAATCTGTATAATGAATAGGGCTTTTGGTGCTGGCTTAGCTGTTGGCTCACAGTGTGATTTTTCTGCTCTTTGGCTTGCTTGCCCTGGTATGTAACTAGTGTTAGAGCTCTGCTGGGGCATCAGGTGCTGTGGAAGCACAGACTGGTGTGCTGTGATTTTGATTCTTTAAACAAGATCTTCTCTAAAGCTAATCCTCAGTGATTATAACTACTAGTTTTTTTCCCCTGACAAAATGGGATTATGGCAGCGAGATCAGGTTGTATTAAAGAAGTTAATCTGTTTCTGTTTGCAGAAACTGTAGTGTTGGAAAACTATTGTTTCCTGTATTTTTCCTGTGGTCTTTCCTGGGTGAAATTATTTGTCTTAATAATACATGTCACCGCACATTAATTCTGTCTGAGGGCTGTAATCTGTAAAGTCATGAAAATATTACTTATAAAACCAAGACATTTATGTAAAAATCTTTTTTTACAATATAAGGGCAATGCTGATTCTTCCTCAAAAACATTTAGCAATGTTACTGTTACGGTGAAGTGCTGGAGACGTAAGGGTTTCAGTCACTGACTATATACAAAATTAAGTACAGGCAACACATTGACTATTGTCCAGTCCTGACAGAACATCTGTCATGAGCAAGACTGTAGTGTAATTTCACAGTTTGTTCAGTCTTTGAATTTGTTTCTAAGATTTAATATCGCCAACGTGCATACCAGTGTTGACAATAAAATTGGACTGAAGTTACTGAAATTCTTTCAGTCTAAAACATGGAATGTTTTATCACATGGTGTGAGCTTTTCACTATTACCTTAGGTTGGATTGTGGCTTTTTACCCTATGACTTATTCAGAACCTTGTTTCTTTGGCCAAGCAATAACTTGGCACCCAATAACTTATTGCCTCTCCATGAGTGATAAGTCAGCATAGTGCAGAAGTTGCAGCGTTGCTAGTTTTTGTGATTTTGCTACAGATTGAGCAATGTTGTGTATTAATAGTTTATATATCCATGGCAGCAGCTAAGGTTTTTGATTGAGGACCTCAGCTTTCTTAAAGATAGTAAGTTTCTAGCCTTCTTGATTGCAGAAAAGTTTGAAAACGTGCACTGAATGTGTACAAAAGACACAGTATCTAGAGGCAAATACACATAATTCACTGTATTTAAAAAAACCTCATGAATTGTGGAGACAGACCCATGACCTTTGAACACTTGTGGCTGACAATGCTGGCGTGTAGGCGTGTTAACCTTTCTGCTGGCTTTCACACGCATGCCATTTCTACTGAGTTAGAGATCTATGTGGTTTTGGTTACAAAAGCTTTTCCACTGTGATTAGCTTTCCTTTTGGTCTGGTTTAAGGTTGCTTATGTTCATTTATGACATAAGCATATTCCTTTCCTCCTCATCTTAAAATCCCTTTTTGAAATATCCTTAAAAACTTCCCTTTTTTTTAGTTCTGTTTTAGACGTTATCAAATACGGTTCTGTGCTTAAGTCCTGTGGTGTTTGTCTTAAGAGTTTAGTTGTGATTTTTTTAAAAATGCACCTCTACATACTGCAGAGATGAGGTCTAAACTTTTCCTCATTAGAACTCTGTTAGGAGCTGGGTGAGAGTTGGCAGAGTTGTTCGACTCCAAGCAGTTTAAAAACACAGGTTTCATGTTGCAGTCTCTGTAACCTAGACTTCCATGGGACTCTTTGTCACTACTAATGTTTGCACTTGTCAAACGGAACAAAACAGAATAGGAGAGGAGGCTGTAAGCACCTAAAAAAGTAGGTCAATGGGCCAGCAGGTTATTTGGCCAGAAAAGAACGAGTGGCTTCACTGAATCATGCTGTAATTGTTTTTCTCCTGTTGGCTGATTGTTCTGCTGTGCTTTAACTTCCTATGTTAATATTTGCATCTGTGTTTTAACCGCTTAAGAGCCTCTGTTAGGTGCAGGAGAAGGAGAAACCTAACTTTTCTAATCAAATAAGAGATAATTCTGGTGTTTTCCATAAAATCCATTAATTAATTTAAGAGTAGCATAAGCTTAGTTTTTAGATCCCAGCTTCATTTTTAGAATTTAATATACTTTAAAATAAAATTTTTCAGAAGTGGTACAAGTACATTGTATAGCGAATACGTTTTATTGGAAGAACAGTAAGCAAGGCAGATAGAAACGGGATAAAGATGAGAGAAAAAACTGATTTCATGTAACAAAAATGTGGAAAGTAGCATGGTTCAAGGGAAGAAACTTACAAATGAAATGTAGTGGTATAAAGAGACTGGAAGTTGGTGATCACTTATACTGGTGCTGAGTTTTTTTATGGAACGAGTGCATTTGTGAAGTAAGTTTGGAATACATTATTGAAAGTGTTTTTGAAGTGGGTTTTGAAAGAAGGGGTTAATGGCTGTGTCTGAGGGAGTAGCAATAATGCAGCTGGGCAGCTTTCCTAGTTGCCAGCAGCAGCATTCTATACAGTCTGGAGTCCTGAGAGTGGCGATTTTGGAGACTTGGAGAGGAGAAGATGTAACTGAGAAAGCCAGGAGAGGCCCAAGTAAGAGTTTCAGCGGAAAAGGTGTTTAAATAATGGTATAAAGATATACTTTGAAGGTCACAAGTGGAAGTGAAGACATAGGTGGTGATACCAAATTCAAAAGTAAAAATGACGTCAAGATTAAAGATAGGCGTAAAGTGATAGCTTAAAGTAGAGATGAAATTGTGTCAGAATATCCTGATTATCAAGGAGAAGAGCTTTAAAACAAGGTGAATTCGGATAGTGAAATACTTGGGATATTTTTAATAAGCAGAATATTGCATTTATAAATTACTCTTGTTTGAAAGATTACTTCTCTTTTATTAAAAAAACCCAAGTGATCATTTTAAAACTCATTGATTTTAAAACTTTCCTTTTTTATTTTTTTACAGTTCAGAATTTAATGCTTTTCTGCAGAAGAGGATACTTGTAACTCCACATTGTTCTTCAAAGCAACCAGGTTTCATCCTTAAACCTCACACTTTAACAAGTCCTAAAGCGTAAAAGGTAAATTTGTACTCTTATAATTAATAAGGTTCCTGTGGCTTTCAATTATCAACACTGAAGGGCTGAGTAGCAGTGTTAAGTAGTGTCTTTTGTTCTCCAGAACATGACTGAATTTGAATCTCAAAAGTAGACATAGTCCTTGATTTCTGTAGTGTTTGCTTTAAACTTGGCTGGTTTCATTGGAATTATCTCTGCAGTCTTATCCATTGGCATGTATAAGCGCTGAGAATGTTCAGTGTCTTGCAAATTTGGATGCAAAGACAGAAGGGTCAGACCTTGAAAAGTGAGAAACAAATGCACTACAGGTGCATTTCCTGTAGTCTTTATGTTCTTTTAACTATTTGTCTTGGATACCAAATCTAAGTTGCAAGTTCTGACGTAGGATCTGTATACTGTAACAAGCAAATGATTTTGTTGAATTCTAGAAATAGAGTGCTTTGTTAAAGTGAAAATACTGACTTTTAAATTCTGATTCTGAATAATGAAGATGTCAGTTATGTCACAGGTGAAAGTTTTCTGTACTTAGCTGTACATGTATTTTTCTTTTGCAGATTAAGAGAACAATGTATCATTTGTCCTACAGAATTTCATATTACGCTTGATCCCTATAATGTTAGGGATCAAATTTGTTTAAAAATTAACACAGGGCTAAAAGTGTAATTAGTGCATACCTGTATTAGTGCATACTATGTAAGCTAAATGAAAACAAGTTTCTAATTGGTGTCTTGATTTTAAACTTAATTCCATGCCAGTGATTACTGCTGAGCAACCTGTCTGTTGTGTGCTTTTGACAAAAATTCAGACAAACACTTCTTCATAATATACTTTTCTCATGCCATTTCTGGCTGGTTTTCAAATAGTGCAACTCCATTACTTTATAAACTTGGCCAACTGATTTGGAGAATTTAATTTGTCAGTATGGCCAGTGTAATTGTTATTTTGAAGAATTGGAGTGAAGGAATGGTTTGCTTCCAGTGTGTCTTCAGAGCACGAGATGTTGGAGAATAAAGGCAAGACGTATTAATTGAAGAAGTGGGTAAGAGGGCTCATGGGGCATTTGGGCAAAACCGCATGCACACCTTGCGATGCATCTTGAAAGAGATTGTGCTGCAGCACAGCTCTCCCGTTCACTTTCCCGCTGCACCCAAGTTATCAAACTTTGCGGGCAAAAATACTAGTCTTGTGACGCAAACCTGCATAGTATGTGGCTGTTGTAGACTCTGAGACCGTTTGGTTGAAACATAAGCTTTCTTCCTCAGTTTCCCCATATATTAAAAAACTGGGATAAGATTTTCCTGGAACATTTTGCAGACTGTCTGGATCATGGAGTTGCTGCCATATTTCTTGTGGTATTAACACTGCAAGTTCCACTGGATTTGGCACTCTCAGAAACAAACAAATCCTTCCTTCTCAGAAACTATGAGTCACTGAAGTGACTAAAACCAGCTCCTTTGAAATAAATGCAATGCCTTTTTACTATTAAGTTTGTAACATAGTAAAAATTCCTGAAGATCTGCAAGTTCAGCTCATATAAAACTTCTTGCTGCCATGCAGTTGTTCCTTAATCATTGACAATGTTACAATCTTGCTGCTCCGTTTAAGCAGCCTCTGACAACTGACTTTTCTATATCAAAGAAAAAGGTTTAATTGTATTGGTTTATGTTTGACTTTCAACCCTTCTGTAACCCGTGTAATTTTGTAATTTTTGGTACTTAAAAGTAGGTACTTGTTGAATTAAATACTTATTTTAATTTTGTATTCCTATGCTCACTATTAATATTTAATTCACATTCTTTATTCAAAATCATATGTACAGCTGGAAAACCAAAAGCTTCCTGCTGAAACTTTGTAATGAGTAAGTGACTGCTTTAAGAATGGCCAGGTTAATTAACTTTCTCACAGTATGGAGAGCACATTCTAATACGTATCTTATTGTTATCATTTCACAAATCTATTATAACAATGTGCTCAAGAAAAAAATATAGTAAGAAATAAATTATAGCTGTAAAATGCTACATCCTAAATACTTTCTGTTTGCACAATTTCTAAATATTACTACTGAGGAGTGTATTTTACATCTGTTCGACCTTCAAAATTATAAGTCTTTTAGGTAAAAGTTAAAATAAAAATGAAAAGCTATATCTGAAGTCAGAGTCAGAAAAAGGTTTGTATTGGTTTAGTCCAGACTTATTTATCGTGGCATTTAATAAAACAGTGTTCTCTTGAACTCTCTGTCATGTAAAATGAGGTATTAAAGTCCAGGTTATGATGGTAATGGAGACTGCATTAGAGAAGGTAGGAGGGCAGAGCAGAAGGTTGGAAGAGAAGGGAAGATTAAGAGCAGCTTATAGAGCAAATGAAAACTTCATGCTCTACTGAAGAACATGTTTGTTCCTCCAGAGTCACATTTTGATATTTTTTCTTCTCTTATAGGCAAACGTACAAATGTCTACCACAAGACTAAAGTGTGATATGTTATGTTTTTTACCATAAGCACCCATAAAATGAGCTCCATTGCAGACAGGTAAGGAGGATTAAGAGCAGCTTATAGAGCAAATGAAAACTTCATGCTCTACTGAAGAACATGTTTGTTCCTCCAGAGTCACATTTTGATATTTTTTCTTCTCTTATAGGCAAACGTACAAATGTCTACCACAAGACTAAAGTGTGATATGTTATGTTTTTTACCATAAGCACCCATAAAATGAGCTCCATTGCAGACAGGTATGTTAATAGATACTGAGAGTTTTGGGGGAATTACTGTTCAATGCTTTCTTTAATGATCTTTTTCTTATGGTTAATATATAGAGAATATTAATTTATGCAAAAAGTAAGAGGAGTGAGTTTTTGGCTATTTTTGACAAAGTTATTTTGGCAGTTGTTAGACATGTTGTTTTGATTTTTATTGTTTGAGATGAATCTTAAAATGTATTACTTGTTTTCAGCCATGAACAGCATCTGTGCAAGTTGAGCTGATTTTTAATGTTTACTTGAATTTTTTTTTTTAGTATTTCAATATTTGATTAAGGAAAACAAATACATTTAAACAATTAGTGATGCTGCAGATGGTAGTAAAGTGACCTGCTAACCTATTTCAAGGGAAAAGTAATAGCTGAGACATGTTTTTCTACTTGATTCCTTGCGCTGGACTTTCTTACCAGCTTAGGTGAACATCTGTCCTTAATTTTCTGTGTACTACCATTTTTGAGACTTCAGGAAATGAAACTTGCATCAAATTTACAGAAAGTTAAACCTGATCAAAATAAATAACAGTAAAAGCAAAGGGTAAAACTTTTAAGATGCTTGTCTGACTTGTCAGTTATTTTAGTGAGGTTTTGTGGTATTTCACTGAAACTTCAGCCTTTTGAATATACGAATTCCTTTTAAAAGCTTTATGTTTATGAAGTAGCATACAAAATAATTACTTCCTAACATCACTGCTTATCATAATGTACAATTGCTTGATGATTTATCAGTTATAAATCAGAGAGATGAGGTAAGCTTTTTAGAAAGACAGTTACTTGCCTTAAGGGAAGGAGACATTAGGATAAAAAAAATTAAGGGTGGACACACAGAGGTCGGTGTGGACAGCACTAGATAGACTGAAAGCAGAGAGAAGAAGTCAGAGAAATAAAATGTGAAAGTCCATTATACAGCAGTTTTGGAAAACAGAACAACAGTTTTGACTTGACTTTTAAAACAAAAGGAAATGAAGCAAAGGTGTTGTATGAAGTATACTGAGGTATCTTCAAAGGAAAACATGTTCTCCTTTTGACATTTTAATACGTCTTTAGCAGTACGTGGACAGTTGTCAAGCTGAGGAAAAGTTCTGTGATATTTGGTGAGGAAGCAAATATAATGAATAATTACTGTTACTGTTTAACATGAATATTAATTGTATATTTATAAAATTACATACATGGATGAAGTATAGCATATTCCTCAGCCCTCTTCCATTAGTAATACTTCAGTATTTAAGAAAAATGTACTTTCTTGCTGTAAATATTTCCAATAATTGGAATAGAAGTTGCCAATAAGTGAAAGTAAATTATTTATGTTCTCTCTCATGTTTTCAAAAGGGTAAGGTAATGCAAATAATCAAGAAGATAGAAAAATAAAATTAAGTAGTGTTCAATTAAGTTTTTGCATAGGGTTGTAAGTTCTCATTAGAAATAGTGTGAAAATCCTTTGAGTTGTGTCAGAAATGTAAGGTTTTTTGCTTTCTATTTAGTAAATGTCCTACAAGGAGAACTTATAGCAGACTTGGCTTCAGGTTATTGATGATGGTCCTTGTGAGACATCACAGTAAAACAGTGCTTTAGTTTCTTGGTGTAATGGAGGTGATGAATAATGAGCTCTTCCTCCCCTCCCCTTCATTGTGATGGGACTCCACAAGAGAGAAATTCTACACTCCAACATTTATTTCCTTTTGTTTCTTTCAGAAATGATGGAAGCATTTTTGATGGGCTGGTGGAAGAAGATGACAAAGATAAAGCAAAAAGGTAAGTTTTTAAGTTATTTAAAGCTAAGAAATGTCCTATACTTGTACACTTGAACTTAGGGTGATTTCTAAACAATAAAAATGTGATTCTTTTATACATAACCATATTACTTAACAGCATTTCTTTTACTGTTATTCTTCAGATATGTTGTATATTTATAACTGTGGTTCAGTGATTTGTATCTTTGTAAAAGGGTGCTTTATTCCAAAGGCTTCGCTGCACCCCTCCATGAGAAGGAGGAAGCCACTCTTAAAAAATAGTGTCAGAAATACAGAGTAGGTGTTTTTGAGACAGTTCTCACAGCAGAAATTCTTAAGGGGCTGTTTGCATCAGGAACCTGGCAGTAGTATGCAGCTTATTAGAAGAAAGTTTCATAGTTGTTATAAAACATTTTTTGTTTTGTTTTTCAGAGTGTTTAGAAACAAGTCTGAAAAGAAACGTCGAGATCAGTTTAATGTACTTATTAAAGAGCTGGGTTCCATGCTTCCAGGTAATGCTCGGAAGATGGATAAATCCACTGTACTGCAGAAGAGCATTGACTTTTTACGGAAGCACAAAGGTAATTATTTGTAACAATAAAAAAAATATTTGTAAATTCTTAATTTTTTTGAGTGTCTAGAAACAAGTCTGAAAAGAAACGTCGAGATCAGTTTAATGTACTTATTAAAGAGCTGGGTTCCATGCTTCCAGGTAATGCTCGGAAGATGGATAAATCCACTGTACTGCAGAAGAGCATTGACTTTTTACGGAAGCACAAAGGTAATTATTTGTAACAATAAAAAAAATATTTGTAAATTCTTAATTTTTTTTTAATGATATTCACTTAGTACATAAAACATTAACAATTTTGCAGCTCCTTTAAGGAAATTGTCAAAAAAATATAAAGAGCTCCTGAAGAAAGATATTCTTAAGATCATAATTTAGGTAGCAGAGATATAACTGTGGTTTTGCTAATATTTTGCAAAAGCCAGTACTAATTTTTTTTTGTCCCATAGTTGTCAAAGAAGTCTATTTCATAAAGAGAAGCATTTATGTTTGAAATAACCTTGAAGTTTTTTATTCTGGATGGATGGAGACCTTTAGAATATAGTTGCTTCATAAGGTGCAAGTTATCAAAAGTTTTGCTTCACAGGAAAACTGCTGATCCATTTCAGTGGAAGTACTTGCTGGAAGTACTTATTTTGATATTTAGATAAGGCTGGCTTGGTTTGAACAGTTGGTTTGTCTCTCCAAGTTCCACATAAAGCAAGATAAATCACTGAAGAAGCTAGTCCGAGGAAACTTAATGCTCCGTCTTTTCATGTCAGGTATCTATGCAACTGGCTGCTTTAACAAAGATGATAAGGCAATAGGGCATTGTGGACTCCAGCAAGTGTTACTGGGTAGGTTGTTTGATGAGAGAGGGTGGCATGCAGTGGGCATACAGACCAGGAGCATGTACATTTTCTTTTTTCCTTTTAGCTGGAAAAAAAACCCAGAAAATCTATAAATACTTTTAGCTGAACTTTCTAATTTTCAAGACACATCCACTGATGTGTAAGCCAATGAGTGTGTGTTTGTTGTTTTGTAAACCATCATGTGAAATGTCAAAATGATGAATGTCTTTGAACATCCTTGCTATGCTTTTTTTCTCTGCTTGTTTGCATCAGCTGATGGTGGGATATACCCAGATATGTTGTACTGAAGTTCATTACAGATTGTTGTTTCTGTCACGAAAAAATTCTTCGACCAAGCATACACTTATTTATGGCTGTTTGATTTTTATGTATATAAAAAATCCCTGTTCCTGTTCCTACACTTGTTCTTAATATGGCACCTTGTGGTTCACACTGCCAAAAACAAGATTAAAAATTCAAGAAAATGAACTCTTTTGCTAGTTAACCCATTTCCCTGAGTAATTTCTGAGCATGCATACTAACTAGAAAGCAGTAGGGACAAAAGAAGCAGCTGTAAGGTTATAAAATAAAGTAAGTAAAGCTATTAAGTGCATGAATTAGTATGTATTTATCAACAGTATGTGTGTCAATTTAAGGTATGTTAAGGTATGATAAATATTTTTCCATGCCCTAGCATGTCTCTTCCATTAGTGTTATGGTTCAAGTAGCACCAGATGTGTGCAGAATAGTGCCATTAAAAGGGTAAACATAACAATTAAAATGGAAAGGGAGGGGGGAATAATTTGTGTGAGAATTTATAGGTTTGGGGTTTTTTTTGCCAATTAAATATTGATTATGCTGTTTTAATTCTCTGAGACACGTGTGTCTCATAACAAAAAGAAAAGCAGTATGAGGGGTCCTTTTCTGTAAAAGTCAGTTCTGTAGGTTCTAAGGCCTTTGTGAAAATTGGTTCTGTTTCAAAATCACTTTATCTTGTATTGATGATTCCTATCATAAAATACAGAGTGTAGAATGAACACGTGTCAGCCAGCCAGCAGCACCAGTCATACTTTTTTCTCCAAAGTGCTTTCTGAGATTATTTTTTTAAATCATTATTATTTTTTATTTTTTTAGGATAGAGGGGAAAAAAGCAGCTCTGGAGATGGGTGCCTTTTAGAGCATGGTGCTTTTGTCCTTCACCTGGTGGGACAGAGTGCAGCTTTGTGTGACTGCACATATCATATTAAGGTCTCTAAAGCTCTGGCTGCCAGTGCTTACTGGCATTGCTCTGTACTGGTTTACATTAAAATGTTTTGGACAAAGTGTTGGCAAAGGTCAGAAGCATATTTTGCCTCCTGAGGTGCTTGGATCTGTTACAGTAAAGCAGAGTGACCCTAGCAATAAATGAATTGTTCAGCGTTGATTAGCTGCTTTATTGTTGAAAATCCTACTGCGTTCAGCCACCAGGTTTTGATTAACTGCGTTGCTTCTGGTTCTTTCTGGACCAGTTCCACCTTGGCCGGGCTTGGTACTCTGGCGGCAGCTCCAGATGAACTATCTGAGCTGGTTATTGGCCAGTGTGGATTCTGTTCCTCATTGGGAAAAAACAGCAGGCTAAACACACTGAAACTATATTACTGAGAGCTTCTCCTTGACTAATACTGTCTATCATCTTCCTTTGAATTTGTAAACAAGACATTTTTGAAAATTATGAAATGCTGAAGAATTTCGCTGCTTATAATTACAACTAGTAGACTGATACACATACAACCCAGAGATAAATGCTACAGATCTTTGCCTAGCTGGCAATTTCTTTTGAGGATGCTCAGTGCTGATGCAGAATTGCTTCAGATCCAGGATTTGAGACTGGAGTTTAATGTGCAAGTTTGGTTATGGTCCTCTGTCTGGTATCTAGCTCAGGAACGTGACCTCAATGCCATTTATCTTTGAATGCAAACTTTTGCCAGAATTTTTAGGCACTTCTCTGAAGTTACCAAGTGAAACAAGTTCTTTCCATGTTACTTTGGCTCTGTTTTCCAATATCATACTTGTTCTAATTGTGGGAAATGTAAAAGAACACCTGTACTTGTGGTAAGATAATTCAGAATGGTTTGTTAAAGGCATGAACTTCAGCTTTTATTTAGTATAAATCCTTTCTACTGCAGAAGCCAGACTGACCTTTTTTTTTTTTTTTAGTTCTGAAGTAGGATGGTTATATGGGTCAGAATGAGCCAATGAATCAGATTTTTCCAATTCTAAAGTGGAGATGATCTATGTCCTGTGGACTGAATGCATTAAGTTAGTTGAATTTTGCCTCTACTTTGATGGCAGAGCTTTTCATTTCCGTGTCCTTTGACTTGCCCCTCAGTGTTCAATGTATTTGTTCTGACTGAAAAGTTAGATTTGGGGTTATACTTAGGTTACCCTTATTCTCCAGCCCACTCTTACTGCTTTGTGATACCATTTCAAAACAGATAGCAAAAGCCTGATCAATTTATGTCTTTTGTGAGATCTGATCGTTGGAAATTCTGGTCCATCTTATTCGTTGATATTTTTTTCCCCTCTCCTTGCAGCTCTCCACTTCTTGCCAGTTTCTTGCATGATGTTGCTGCTGTTTACTGTTCTTTTAGTTAAGTCTAAGGCTCTTTTGTAAAGTTTCCCCCCTTCAGTCTGGGAACCAAAATTCTGAACTGTTCCAGCCCTTTGCATATTTAACTCAATTCCAGGTCTCTGTGCTCTCTGAGCCATCTGAACTAACAAACTAGCTTACAGCCTTTGTACAGACTTGTCCTTTAGAAAACAAAAGCATTAAAGACATGGTTTCGTTCTTTTGATTCTTCTAAATACTTGATTCACGATTACTTGTTCAAGGTTGTTCTTACAACCAGTACTTCTGTAATGCCCTTGTTGCTCATCAAAACTGAAGTACTACGCATTCTTGCTTCTTGTTTCAGTTATCAGCTGATAAGGAAGCATCAGCTTTCAGAACCTGGGGTCTGGTTTTGCTCAGCAGCCGTTGTTTCTCCAACCTATGTATGGGAAGTTAATCGATATGTTTCTTTTAAGTCCTACAGAATCTCCGTTCAAAATTCATCTCTGTGTACGAATCAGACAGTAATTCTGCAGTGGAGCCTGTCATACAGCTCTTAACAGTCTCTGTTGAAAACCTACTCTTTTTTTAACATAACCTTATTTCTTTGCAGAAAAGAGTGGGAAGAAGAGAAAGGACTGACAATTTTTAGGGCAAAGGTTAGAATGACGAGGGTTGGCTGAGATACTTGAGGATTAGCCATTTTTTATGACCTAAACTGATCAGGAATTTTGGCTTTCTAAATCTTTGAAAACAACGCTCTCAATAAAACATTTTATTATGGTCTCAGAGGAAAGAGTATTTTTCCATTGTCAAAATCGATTACTTACTGTCATTAACTTCAGCATTACCTTGAAGTCTGGCAGGGCTGTAGCACAAACTGGTAGAAGGAAAGAGAAGACAAATCTAATTATGACATAGGGGAGAAGACATTTGTTTTCTGTTTAAGGAACAACGTCTGTAGGTAATGAATGAACAACAGAGGAGACTGGAGAACCTTCTGCTATTTCCTACTGTGTATATGTAGCTTAGTGGGAAAATAATGGCTTTTGGAAGTGTGAATCCTTATATTGTATATATGTTTGATTGTAGAAATTACTGCACAATCAGATGCCAGTGAGATTCGACAGGACTGGAAACCGACATTCCTTAGTAATGAAGAGTTCACACAGTTAATGTTAGAGGTATGTTATTTCTGGTTTTCTGGGAGTAGAATATTTCCTCACAGGGAGTCATTCCATGATGAAATTTTTCAGTTTGATGACATAACTCTTTATTTCCGTATTTTAAGTGTAACTGTACGTTTTCATGAAGATAAAGTTCCTATGTATGCAGTGTAATGCAAAACAGTTTTTCTTTTAACTGCATTTTCAATTACATAAAACATAACAGCAAAGCCACAACTGAACATATTTACTGTCAAAGGAAAGTGGATATTTTAAATTATCAACATAAGGAAGGTACTTGTTAAATGAAGAATTGTTATGCATAAATTAAAATCTTAATTATAAAAAAGGCTCAACACATCCATGTAACTTGTGAGCAATAAAGTGTTTAATTTCTTTGCTTGTTACGCTTTCCAAAAATGGTGTGTGAGCATTATTTTGCTAAAGAAGATTACATGAATAGTTGGATTACTACTAGAAATAAAGTTTAAGTATAAGCTATCATTTCCTTGGAAATGAGAATAAGTCATTTGTATCTTGTTAGTAAAACAATTTCTAGTAATAGTTAAGTGAAAAATATTAAAGTAAATGAACAAGCACTTTTAATTTTCATTCCATAGTTAAACCTTTTCTTTGAGTCACGGATTTAAAAAAGTAAAAAGTTCTGATTTTCTGTACTTAAAAAATTTTCAAAAAATCCTCTGTGGTGAATTTGCATATTTCTTCCAACAAGTTAGTGAAGTAGTTGCTTCTGTTTTTCAAGGGTTTTTGTAGCTGTTTTTGGTGTTTCTCAAGTACTCTTACAAAATACGTCTGCAACTAGTGACTGTAAAGCTAGAACAATATGATATAAAAATTTTTTTCAAAGATGCGAGCTTTAAAATTTCCAATTTAGAAATACAGTTCTGTCATGCTTTTATGTTTGGTAGCGTTCAACTAAAAGATAGTTGTTTTATGTTCAGTGGAAATAAGTTTGAGTTAAGTAGAAGATAAGGCAGTCAGAACTATCTCAGTTTTCAAGTCTCAATAAAATCTTGCTACAAGTTTCTTTTCTTGAGATTGGGAATATTGAGATTTTAAATACCGAAATTCATTGATTTCACCACCTCTTTTACTTGTTCTTCTCTTAGTTTTTCCACGTTTTCTTACTTCTGTCTTTAGCTCATTTTTCTGAGTTTTCTGATGTTTAAAATGATGATGGAATTAAAAATAACAGGCAGGTCGAGTGGGAGATGGGGGAAACAGTGGCTAGCTGTATATGGACTTGCTTCTGAAACCACAGATTAAGAACAGAACAGTATGGGAATTGTAATGCTCGTAGTGTAAAAGCAAGACTAAGAAGTTTCAGTATTGAAAGGCATTCTCTTTTTTATAATATACTAAACTAAAATTGGTCTAAATTATTTTCCACGTTGAATATAGCTTAACATTTTTAATATGCTCTGTTTCTTTTTATTTAACTGCCCATTATGTTTAATTTCAGGCTCTTGATGGTTTTTTTTTAGCAATTATGACAGATGGAAATATAATATATGTGTCTGAAAGTATAACTCCCTTACTTGAACATTTGCCAGTAAGTACAAATTGCTTTCAGTAACATACCAGTTTGTCTATGGATGGTGTTCTGCTATGAGTACTAATTAATTGTTAGCCTTTTTGGCATTAAAGAACAGATGTATACTTTGTTCTAATGCTTCTGCTTTTTCTTCAGCACAACTCCTTCCTACTGGTCTGTCTCCTATATTAAACATTTCCTTTGGAAACACAGAATGCAGTCGGCACTCTGTTAGGCAGGATTATGAAGTGCCAGGCTAGCATCAGTTTCTCTTCACCATAACTGAAATAACACAGTTGATTGCAGGAGACCCTTTAGAGTTCACACCTATCACAGCCTCTACATGAGAAGAAGAGTATTGCTAAAGAGCTGTATCCTTGGAATTCTTTTAAACTACTTTTTTACTCCTTTCTTGCCAAAGAACTCTTACAAGAAATACATTGCTGCTGGTTCTGCTTTTTAAGATAGGTATATACTTTGGGTTTTATCACATTCACTCATCGTTTGTCTTGGTGGCATTGCTCACTGGTAAATTTAACATTCTAGTTTTTAAAGTTACCTTTGAATAATGTTATTCTGAAATGAGGCAAATTAGTACTCAAAAATGCAAACAACTGATGAGTGAAACAGTGAGTTCTTTTCTAGAAGAGAAGGACAAGTTACTGTTAAAGGCGAGTTGTCTTACTGTGATAAGAGTATTTTGTAAAACTTGGAGTGGCATATGTAAAAAATGATTCTGCAAAACCCAAATTCCCCTAAGGTATGCATGATATCAGCCTGAGAATTTTGAAAAATGTACAGGTAGTGGTGATTTTTTTTTTTTTTTAAAGTAGAATTTACCAAGTTCTCAGAGGCACATTTGTTCTTTGCTTTTAGGTGTGATTTATATATTCTAAACATACATTCTATGATCTCTCTTTTCTGAATACTTAATCAAACACATTTAAGCGTATAATCAGTTGTTCAGTTGTTCAATTTTATGGCATTCATCTCTATTGTTACCAGTTTTGTGTACATTGTTGCAGAACTGATTATAAAATATATTCATAAAATCAATTGCAATTGGATATAATTATTGGTAACATAATAACCTATATGATGTAGGGAGGGGCTGTCTTTGTTCCAAGATATCATTTCAATGTATTGGATGCCACCGACAGGTTACAGTGCCCTAGAACAACACCCTGTAATTTCTAATTAAAATGCTCCTTTACTTGGAATTGTTGCATCCCAGGGAGGTTAATGCAAGCTCCATTGTAGTTTAATGTGTATGTGTATCTGCTGCGTTCATGGTGTTTTTCATTAAATGGTTCGCGGTGTCAAAATTAAGACAGATCAAAGTGACATTTATTTCTTGCAAAATATTCATGTGTATTCCAGCAGGTGGCTTTGTTGAGTCAGTAATGTTCTTCTGAACTGTGGAATTGTTTTGCATTAAAATAGTAGGCTTTGTGACATTATACGTCTTGCATTAGTTTAATGCTTATTAAATCTTTTTCTTTCAGTCTGATCTTGTGGATCAGAGTGTATTTAATTTTATCCCAGAGGGGGAACATTCAGAAATTTATAAAATATTGTCTTCTCGTCTGCTGGAAAGTGATTCATTGACACCAGAATACTTAAAATGTAAGTAGTTACTGCACGTTAACCCCGGTAGGCAGCTCAGCCCCACACAGCTGCTCGCTCACTCCCCCCCAGTGGGAAGGGGGAAAGAATCAGAAGGGTAAAAGTGAGAAAACTCATGGTTGAGATAAAGACAGTTTAATAGGGAAAGCAAAAGCCGCACACGCAAGCAAAGCAAAACAAGGAATTCATTCACTACTTCCCATGGGCAGGCAGGTGTTCAGCCATCGCCAGGAAAGCAGGGCTCCATCATGCGTAACGGTTACTTGGGAAGACAAATGCCACCACTCCAAACGTGTGTGTCCCCCCTTCTTCCCCCAGCTTTATATGCTGAGCATGACGTCATATGGTATGGAATATCCCTTTGGTCAGTTGGGGTCAGCTGTCCCGGCTGTGTCCCCTCCCAGCTTCTTGTGCACCCCCAGCCTGCTCGCTGGTGGGGTGGGGTGAGAAGCAGAAAAGGCCTTGACTCTGTGTAAGCACTGCTCAGCAGTAACGAAAACATCCCTGTGTTATCAATGCTGTTTTAGTCACAAATCCAAAACACAGCACCGTATGAGCTGCTATGAAGAAAATTAACTCTATCCCAGACAAAACCAGTACGGTAGTTGTTAAAAATAATCTGCTTTGTATCACATGTGATCAGTTCTTTTTTTCCAGTGTTATTTAAGCAGAAACATATGGGTGAGCTCTGAAGAACAGAAGCACTTTTTTTGTGGGTTCCCTCCCCCCGAAGAGTAAAATTTTCAGCATTGCATTGCATTTCAGTCTATGACTTTCCCATGTATTAGAAATGTTCATCTTGTTTATATAGCTTCTATTTAGACAGTTGTAGCCCTTGGCGAGAATAAAAACATAGCAGCCTAATGGGTTTTGCAAGTGCATGCTTTAGTAAACTTAAGTTTAGGGCAGCTGCTTCTTTAAAATAGCTCTAGTTTTCAGGGGTTTTCTATGTCATTAGCATTCAGGCCCTTCATGCACAAATTCTAAAGGAGTTCTCCTTTTCTTTAGGTTAGTTAATATTGCTCTGGTTAAAAGCAGAGGCTGTAGCCATTTGTAATCACAGCATTTACAGTATCTCAATAAGTATGCAGCTTAATTATTCCTGCTTTCCATTTCATGTTGCCTGTGCGCTTCATCAAGCATGTAGCCTATTAATTTGTTTATTCTTTTCTCAGCAAAAAATCAACTAGAATTCTGTTGCCATATGCTGCGAGGAACAATAGATCCAAAAGAGCAACCTACATACGAATATGTAAAATTTATAGGAAATTTCAAGTGTCTGAATAACGGTAAGTAATTTCAGCGATGTTAGAGCGGAATACTTAGGCAGCTTCACAGCTAAACAGGCTTGGGACTATTGTGGAGAACTTAATGATGAACTAAAATCAGTCTTTCAAAAGAAGAGCTTGAAGCAGAGTTATATCACTTCTGTATTGTTTCAATGAGAAAGAAGAAAAACTGCCTATCAGGTATTACAGGTCTGTGCGTTTGAATGCAAAATGTAGTAATTATGCTTAATGCTTTCAATTAAAGAAAACGAGTATCGTGTAAAACATTTTTAAAAAGAATTTAAGAGAAATTTAAGTAAATGCTTCAAAATAAAGAGCCTGAATTTAGTTAAGCATAATCCATACTTAAGCAGGTGACTAGGTAACTTGAAGATCGGTGGTACTGAGTACCTGCAGTTCTCATTATGCAGTGAGCTGGGAAGTAAAATGTAGGTTTCCTCCCATTTCAATTCTGTGCTTTTACTGACAGGAGTTACCACTCAGATGAGTGGATGGGCCAGTACAGTTTTCCGCACTGAGTTCCTTCTCCCTTCCATTGAAGTTATTTTTATTAGTTATGTACTAATATTATTCTTCCCTACTACATCTCTAATCTGTTTGGCCTGCCTGTGCTGACTATTTAATTGAGAGGCACGTTTATTTGGTCAGCCAGACAAATGGGCTGTGGAGCATGGTCAGTAATAAATCTTTGTAAAGATCACCCCCAAAAATATTATCAAAACCAATATCTTGTAAATAAACCTATGTTTTTTTTACGTGATACCAGTATTTTTCTTACAAAATGGGGAGAGATTGAGTGTTAGTGCCAAATGCAGGTGTGTAATATTATAGGAAAGACAAGAAACAGGCCTGAAAACGCCAATTATGGTGCTAGTCTTGGAAAGAGGAGGAGTTGGGAAACTGCAGACCTATCGGTTGCAATTCAATATTGGGAAATATTCCAGAACAAATAAACTATATGTGAGCTTCAGGAAGCTAGGAAGGAATGGAATAGCAACCATTCAGGTAGGAACAGCATCAAATCAATTCAGTTTCCTCTACCAAAGAGTAACACACTGAGTGGATAAGAGGACAAAGCGCAAATAAATGATGGACTTTTTTAATATGCTTTTGGCAGTTATCATATTCTGTTCTCACAAACATGTAAGGGAAGCACATGTTAATTGAAATTGCTGGAGAGTAGCTGCAGAAACTGTTTGGAAAGGTTACCAATGTTCACTGTCAAAATGGAGTTTTAACGGACTTCTGGATTTGATGAGTATTTTCATTAATGTTATGAATAATGGAACGTAGTTTGCAGTCATGAAATGATGCAAGAACACTAAAAACAAGATAAGAATTCAGCCCCAAATTTAGAGAATAAATTATTTTGGGGAAAAAACCCCAGACAAATTGATAAGAACAAATGCAAGTTACTACATTTAGGAATAACAAACTATATGAACAGGAGAAAAGGTTACAGTCAGCTAGATAGCAGTCCTTTAGAAAAAGGAGTTACTGTGGAATGTAAACTGAATGTGACCAATCACCAAATTGTGAAAATGCAAAAGCCTTTCTAAAATATAGTCTAAACCACATGAAATAATCCCACTGCACTTCTTAGCACCTATATGTCCTCATCCAGTTTTTGGCACTATTTGTCGGGAGTAAGTAAAGCAGCTGGAGAGAGTTCAGAGTAGAGCAATGAAAGCAGTCAGAAATTTAAAAATCTAACTTACAAGGCAAGATAAACTCTGAAGAACAAAAGAGAAGGGATAAGATAAAGAGGAAGGAAATTACTTGTTTTCTTTCTGCTGGAAAGAGCAAGGAGCTGTAAGCTTAAATTGCATGAAGAAACTTCAGTAGAAGTTCTAATCTAGAGTTGAACTAAAACCTGTTAGGCTTGGATGAGCCTGACAGCGTTTTGGAGTCACCATCATTAGACCTTAGTAAAGATAAACTAAATTGATATCTGCTGGAAATGAAAGATAAGGTTAATCTGTTTTGAGGTCTAGTCCATCCTTTGAGGCCTTATGATTCCATCCATCTCTGTGATTCAGTAAGTGGAATTTGTTTGTTCTCAGCTCGGTGTCCTGATTCTTTCACATACATAATTGTTGTGCCTTTGACTGTTCTGTTACTCAGTTTTGTCTTCAGCTCGCGTCGTTTGAATGTGATGGAAGCCTAGAAAAGAAATACTTACCTCAGAGTTCAAAAGAAAAAGTTAGCAAAAGCTGATACAAAAGAGAAACTTTAAAGATATTTTTGAAGAAGATGTTTTCCAGTCATCTTTAGTAGTTACCAAGAAGGATTAGAATTGTTATTAGTTTCTTAAAACTGCTTTGTCACAGATAATACCATGTTAACTGTAATCTTAGTTCTTTGAGAAAGGTGATGGTTGTGTTCCCATTACTACTGTACAACTACTATTCCTGTGCATATATGTGTATATATTATATGTAGCAGTTTTCTTAATGCACGTTAAGTTATAAGCAAACCACATTAGATAAATATTGGGCATTTGTCTTGTGATATTACTGCCATTTTCCTCCATGCTTATTTTGTAATCTGTGTTGACCTCATCTATCTTCCCTCAGTTCCCAACTCTGCGCACAATGGTTTTGAAGGAACTATTCAGCGATCGCACCGGCCTTCATATGAAGACAAAGTTTGCTTTGTAGCTACAGTTAGATTAGCTACACCTCAATTTATCAAGGTATGTACAAATGAAATCACTTTTATATCATTTTTAAATGTACTCTGAACAGGAAAACTTCAGAGAGAGTGCACGCAGCATTTCAAATACTATTAATGAAAACCATAAGGCATTTTATTATATGAAACTAGAAGTGTCTGTGTTTCTTACTTCACATACAAATAGGTTAAATATTATGCAAAGTATCAAATGAAGTTGCTATGGTGAGTGCCATTTCTAAATAATCATATAAAATAGTAACATGCCAGAAATAAATTTAGAAGTCCATAGGAATATAATTTACCAAGTTTAACTTAAACACAATGAAAGATAACACTGAGGTTCCACTTTCACTGGAAAAATTAGTAATTTTAGTTGACATTTGGATGTGAATTTTATGCTGCTGCTGACCTTGCTGTAGTTCGACACAGAAGCAAATCTTTTAGGGCTTAATGAAAGCTTGAATTATTTGTCAGCAACTGAGAGTCAGGTTTGAGGTAATAAAGATCTTCCGTTTTGTTTCAGTACTGTTTGTTATTCAATAACTCAGTTGTTTCAAGAGAATGTTTTGCTTAACTGTTAATGCACAGTGAAGATATCTTTACAAGTTTAGAATTGGATGTGTGTGAAATTTATAGACTTTGCTAAGTATAAGCCTGTTCCTCACCAAAATGAATCAAAATAAATACTCAGGATACAGTATTGGATAGGCTGTGATTGTGATTCAGATGATATGTTTTCTACAAATATATTAGTCAAGGTACAGGATAGTCTACTATCGAACATTTTTTTTACAATTCAGTTGTAAAGAAATGCCATGAAATGTATATGGCACCTGGTTAAGCTGCTGTCTGTCATGCAGAACTCTGAACATTTAAATATTCTGCATATAAGTTGAATGCACTAGTGTCTTAAACTGAAGATTGTTGGTGGTATCCTCTGAAGACATGGTCTACATACTTTGCACTTTGAAAGTGTAGTAGGGAGCCTGTGGAGCAATCATATAAACTTCTTCAGTTCTGTCAGGCTGAATAGGAATTGGATCGCTCCAGACTGCATGCCAGAGAGAGTTTGTTGTTTATTTTTCCTGAAGCCATGGAAATCTTTCATCTGACATTTTTCTTCCCACGCGGGTCTAAATAATGTTCTTCCTGTTGTGCCTACAGTTAGTAGAGATGTTAAATGTGTGATTTTTGCTTCATGAAATACTTGGAGAAAAAAGACCAACCCGGCAGTATTTGCAAATATTTTTATCTTTTAAAGTCTGACAGTTTAGAGTGTACTATAGTAAAACTTTTGTGTTTCCTACTTCTGGAACAGGGCATTTGGAAGTTGAGGAACATCCATTTATGATCTTTCAGGTCTCAGTCTCCTGAGGGCGAAAGCCTTACAGATTATACTCTGGCCAAACTTTCATTCCGCTTTACTTGAACTTCTGAGCCCCTAGTGCCTAAGGAAGCTTTCATGTTACAGAGGTTTTAAGATCCTCTCAAGGGCTTTGACTAGTGCTGTTCATCTAAGAAATATTCTTGTGAAGAAGACTAACATTAGAGTGAAAACTTTCAATCTGACAATACTTGTTTATACTCTTTTGATACCTTCTGTTATTATTGAGGCTAGCATTGACTAGACTCTAGCAAATAAGTGTTACGTCAGGATCTTTACCATCCCAGTAACTTTTACTAACAGATGCGTGATGCAGCCAGTAGTAAGATGTGTATTTTAGTACTGGATAGCCTTATTTAAGGTAGAACCTGCCTGCTCATCTACTACTTTTTCTCTTTATTTCAGATGGTATACGGTTCTGGGTTTTTTTTTACCTAGAATGTAACTTCTCCAGGATATACAGTGCTTTTGCAGAAAGCCGTAGTATTCATGAGAATAATCTCTGAAGGTTCACATTTTTATTTTCTGCATATGACCCCACCACTTTTCTAACAAAATGTGCCACAAATTTTGCTCCCCAGTGAAGGAATTTGGTTCTACACATTCTTTAGAACATTTGTCTTGCATTTTGGCTGGTAAATGATTGAATCCTATCAAGAAAGCAGGATTAATCCAGCCAAAAGGATTCTACCAGAATACTTTTTGTTACAAATGAAAGTCCTTTCTTTTCTAGATGCCTTGTTGACAACTTCAACAAGATGCCTTGTTGAACGAGATAGCTTCTGCCCAGGGGTATTTTACAGTGGAATATCTGTAAATCATTAATATAAATGCATTGAGTAATCGGATACTAACCTGCTGCCAGCTCCTCTCTAACAATGGTGTTTTTACTGTGATTTTACTGCCTGCATTTAAGTTACTTTTCCTTTTGTTTTGACTTGTGCCAAAATAATTAGATTAAAAGAAACAACAAATCAAAAGTATATCTCGAGGATATACGCTTGCTCTGTCATTTCTTTTACTTTGCTATGAGTGGTGCTTTATTAAATGCTGTAATCTTAGGAAAGTAGATGAGCTTTGGGTTTTAGGGGTAGTTTCAGTTTCGAAGGTTAAGTCTTGCTAACTGGAAGTCACACCAAGAGCCACAAATTTGTGCCCAGAGTGATTTTGTTCATTACCTCCATCATACTCACCTTCTGGTCATTGTCTTTAGATTTTACGCCGATGAAGGTGAGGAAAAAACATTGCCTAGATATGTTAACTTTTTCTTCCATAGAAAGAAAACTTAGAAATATCTATTTAAAGAACTGCAAAATATCCACTTAAACTCTTTGTATTACAACCTGAAAGAATGAAAAGGAAGGTGGTCCCTTTGTAGGAACAACAGTTAGTCTTCTACTGTATTTTTCCGCAGGACTATTTTAGTTATAGATACTTGCAGAGCAGCAGTGTGCTCGTCTGTCCTCATCTGTCGTGAATATTATGTCAGTGCAGCAGGGGCTTCCATACTGCAGTCTTTAGGAAACTGTTGTGGTATCTGATCATCATCTGTGTTCCTGGCAATGGGAATACCATTGCAAGCTCCTACAAGTGTGACAAACGTGTGCAGGTGTCCAAAAAAAGAAAGATTTACTGATCTTTAATTTTATTGTAATTCTTTGAGGGGTGTTTTTGTATGTATGCATGTATTCCATCATCCATCTTTCTTCTTGTAAGGCAGTACTAGAGGAGTTTGCAAAAGAACCGACTGGCTTGGGGTACTTAGCTCTGTTACTATCTCAGCATGAGGCACAGTACTTGGTGGGCCGTCTACCTCTCTGGAAAGGGACAACAGAAATTGACTGACATGCACTGATTGCACATACGTCTGAGCGGAATACATTTAAAACGACGTATAGAATACTTCGAGGATTTGTTGTAATAGTGGAAATACAATCATTCTCTTACTGTTCATGAATTCTAAACATAAGAATAGTGTGGTGTTTGTAGTACATGTCTGTGCCCTCAAGGCAAAGTGATTTAGAGTACTCTTTATTCACTAACAGGAAGAATCCTGTTCCTAAAGTCAAAATAATGTGACCATCTTGCTAATGTTGGGTTTTACCCATTATAAGCATATACTGTAATCAGAGTGTCTGGTGGGAGTGTTTCATCTCTTCTTTTGCTTGTTACAAGTTAAAAGCATAACTGCAGGAACTATTGATTTCTGCTGGTACTACTGTGGTTGTAGATACTGAGCTTGAGTTTAATCTCACGCCGGGGTGGTTCCATTTAAATCAACTGAGTGTCAGCCTGGCACAGCTGAGATTAGATTCTACCTCAGTACTATGCATCTAAACAAGCAAAAACAATGAAGCTGTCTAAAAATAACTTTATAACTATTGTGGAGTTACCTACTAACTTTAGGCAAGTCTGAATTTCGAAAGACCTTATGAATTAGAATAGAGCAGTTTTGAGAGAGATTTTTATTTTTTTACTTTTTAGGAAATGTGCACTGTTGAAGAACCCAATGAAGAGTTCACATCTAGACATAGCTTAGAATGGAAGTTCCTATTCTTGGATCACAGGTGCAATTCCTTCTATGTATAGCAGCAATAGTAGCTGAATCACAGTGGTGGCTATAATATTTAGAGTTCACTAATCAGCATTAACTACTCATGGCTTGTGTTGAGTTTAATTTTTAATTTTTTTCAGAGCACATACTGTAAACAAGAAAAGTTATATAATGAAATAATTTTTGGTTGGTTTTTTTTGTGTGAAAATAAAATTACATTAATTTTTGTATTAATTAGGGCACCTCCGATAATAGGTTATCTTCCATTTGAAGTTTTGGGAACATCAGGCTATGATTATTATCATGTGGATGATCTAGATAATCTGGCAAAATGTCACGAGCATTGTGAGTATGACTAAGTTGCTACAATGAACGGGTTTGCTTTATAGGTGTCCGTTTAAAGTTTGTTAAATTGTACAAATGTTGTAGTGAAATTTTGTGTGAAGTGCCTTTACTCCCATTCATTTGACATTATTGCACTGCTGATCTTCATCTTTTTTCTTTTGATACAGAACTACAAAACAGATTTAACTTTATCTTATAATTTAGAGTTTTCATTGTGGTGAATTGGAGTGCAAAGCACTATGACTAATACTTCTCCAGTTCTTCCAATAGCATTTAAAAGGCTCTGTGATGTTTAATGAATGCAAAAATTGTTTAAACATTTAATAAAATAAGCTTTCTGTTTAGCTATGTTTTTCTTTATAAAGCTGTATTTAAATTTTTTGCACATAAATTTTTCACAATATGTAAAAAAAAAAAAAAAACAAACAAACCAGAAAAATGAAAGTTTGAATTCTCCAGTTCTCTGAAAAATGCAGTGTAAACTTTTTTTGGAAGAAAGCTATAGTTTTAAACTTGTTCTTACTCATTGTCATAATACTGGATTTGGACATGGTTTTGGGCCATATGGAGCTAGGAAATAATGTTTATTATGTAATTGCAATATGTACAGACTGGAAAGACAGTAAACTTTATTCTTCACTTTTATAGTAATGCAATATGGGAAAGGGAAGTCATGTTACTACAGATTCCTTACAAAGGGACAACAATGGATTTGGCTGCAAACACATTACTATATCACGTATCACCAGTGGAATTCCAGGCCGGAGTTTATTGTCTGTACGCACACTGTTGTAAGGTAAGTTATCTTTTAAAAATCTGTATTAGAGAAATTCTAATGGCATGGGAGCTGTATTGCTGGTTTTTTGGGAGGTAGAGAAATCATAGCAGTTTAAAGAATCATGGGAAAACTTCCTGGGATACTTTGTAAGTAAGGTACCTCTGAGGAGTTTGTTTTTTGAATCACAGAATCATTTAGGTTGGAAAACACCTTTAAGATCATCGAGTCCAACCACTAACCTCACACTGCCAAACAGTGTCCCTAAGCACCACATCTACACTCTTTTAAATACCTCCAGGGATGGTGGCTCAACCACTTCCCCAGGCAGCCTGTTCCAATGCTTGACAACCCTTTCAGCGAAGAGATTTTTCCTAATACCTAAACCTCCCCTGGCACAACTTGAGGCCATTTCCTCTCGTCCTATCGCTTGTTACTTGGGAGAAGAGATCGACACCCACCTCGCTACAACCTCCTTTCAGGGAGTTGTAGAGAGCAATGAGGTCTCCCCTCAGCCTCCTTTTCTCCAGGCTAAACAACCCCAGTTCCCTCAGCCGCTCCTCATAAGACTTGTTCTCCAGACCCCTCACCAGCCTCGTTGCCCTTCTCTG